ATTTATTTATTTATTTATTTATTTATTTATTTATTTATTTATTTATTGGTTCGATTTATATGCTGCCCTTTTCTGGAAACTCAGGGCAGCTTACAATGCGTTAAGCAATAGCCTTCATACTTTTGTATATACCTGCTTAGTAGGGCTTTCGCCCCCACCCCCAAAAGCGATGTTCTTTTTTATACAAAGTCAGCTTATTGCCCCCACAAACCGGGTCCTCATTTTACCTATCTCAAAAGGATGGAAGGCTGAGTCAACCTTGAGCCTGGTGAGATTTGAACTTGCAGTAATTGCAGGCAGCTGGTGTTACTTAACAGTGCTTTAGTTTGCTGCGCCACCAAGGCTCTTACATCATCACATCCCATTTTTGACCCTCTGCACATGTGCAGAAGGCTGTGCACCTGTGTTCTTACATTGGCAAATCAGTAGCGAAGGTTCCGGTTTGCAAATACCACCCCTGCCACCATCCCCTTACCCTCGAGTTTCAACTGTCAGTACCTATCCTTTCGTCATTCCCGCCATCAGAACTGATGAAGCTTCTTGGATGAGAAGCAAAACATTTTTGTCTTCTTCCTCAAGGGGAAAAAAAAAAAAACAGTCCAGTTTCCTTTTGAAGAAAAAAAGTACCGTTGAGACAAACATGTTCATACTTACTGTTAATTCTGTTTCTATCTGCATTTACTGTGTCACAAGAAGTTGGGCACAAAGTTATAGAGATAAGACATGATAAGTAAGTACAGGAATGTAATCACATGGCTTTGCCTGAAATGGATCCATTTGCTTCCTAGGAAAGAGATAGAGGATGGCCCAAAGTCAAACTTTACTCTTGGTAGTGTCAGAGCTGGCTATTCACTCAGGCCTTTGGCAAGGGAGACTGAGACCCCTCGCTTCATCATACTTGCCAACATTTATCTTTTATTGATTCTGTTCTAATTTATTTGACTGTTGTGTGCCAGCCAGAATCGGTGAATGTCAGGTGCCATACAAGTGTAATAAGCTATTATTGATTGTAATATTATTTGAGATAGATGGGATCTAGTCTACTTTATGTTATTTATTGTCACTAAAGGTATGGGTTGGATGGAATCCACTCTCAACCTGGTTGGATCTTATTGATTTGCCTTGTTTTTGTTTTCATTTTTGCCATGCATTGAATACTCATAATAATTTTTTACATAGCTTGAAACTTTCAGCCACTTATATAGAAGAAATCTTCCCTTTCTGTGTGAAGTATTTAGATGACCACTTTACTTTTCTGAAGTAAGGAGTTCTGCTTTATGCCACAAGCAATTTTTTTCTTTTCTTTTTTTAAGGTCTGCTGGTTTTGCTATAACAGCCTGACACAGTTCTTTCTCATGATTACCTAACTTTTGATAACCAATATCTAGGAATCATTCATCTGAAGCCCAAACATTTTTCTGTCAATATGTTTTGGTTGATAAGTGATTCTCTCACATGCATGTGTTTTGGATGGAGTTACAACAATGCCACTTCACAAAACATTTCATGGGCATGCAATGTTTTAGATCTATCTCATTTATTAAGGTTTTGTCTAGAGATATTTTATTAAAATCAATGCATCTCATCATGAAATATATAAACACTGAATCTATATGCAGTATATGTTTGATAACTGTTAAGATATGCCTGTGAATAATGTTGTGTTGTTGTTGGTTGCGAAGTCATGTCCGAGTCGCAATCTCATGGACAAAGTTCCTCCAGGCCTTCCTTCCTCCACCATCCTCTGGAGTCCATTTAAGCTCATGCCTATTGCTTCAGTGACTCCATCCAGCCATTTCATTCTCTGTCGTCCCCTTCTTCTATTGCCCCCAATCTTTCCCAGCATTAGGCTCTTCTCCAGTGAGTCCTTCCTTCTCATTAGGTGGCCAAAGAATTTGAGTTTCTGGCCTTCTAAAGAGCAGTCAGGGTTGTTCTCCTCTAGGACTGACCTGTTTGATCACCTAGCAGTCCAAGGGATTCGCAGGAGTCTTCTCCAGCAGCATAGTTCAAAGGCCTCAATTCTTTGGTGCTCAGCCTTTCTTATGGTCCAACTTTCACAGCCATACATTGCAACTGGGAAAACCATAACCTTGACTATACACACTTTTGTTGACAGGGTGATGTCTCTGCTTTTTAGTATGCTGTCTAGATTTGCCATAGCTTTCCTCCCCAGGAACAAGATTCTTTTAATTTTATACATTTTCCATACATAGTGATAATATTCCTTAAAGTTTTGAGGGCTTCTAAAGAGATGGCTACCTTAGTAATTCAAAATTAGCCAGATATTCTCATCTGGCCTTCATAGCATATTTGGCAGGCCTTTATCTACAATGTTGCTGCTTCCAAGAGCGCCACAATAGCTGGAGATGTTTGACAGGAATTTGGCCCATAATATGATTTATTAGTCATTACCACCCTAGTTCATTCAATAAAAAGCCTGCTTGTCCTTTAATTAATCCCCTTTGAAAAAGAGAGTGGTTGCGTCTCCTATGCACATTCCTTTATTTGTAGGCCAATGCTGCAACACGAAGAACATTTTCCTTCTTTCTCGTATACTTCTTTGTTCACAATATGATAATCTGGAATCATAAATATCTCCATGATTGGAGATATCACATGAAAAATAATTTCTATGATAATTAAAGACTTGGGGAGGAACAATGTATCACTTGCTTCTCTGGCGGCTGACTGCCTTTGGATGGGATGCACAGCACAGTCATCTCAGTTCACCTCATTTTATACCCACTGACTTTTACACTTAAAAAATTCAGAGTGGATGTTCAAGCACAAAGTCATCTTTCATCAAGATGGGGCTATTAAGGAATAATTTTTGGAACACACTTGCAGGCATTCATATTCCTGGAGGTGTGGAATGGGAATTTCTCACTTTAAAACATGGTCTCCTATCCACTGTGAACTTGACAAATTACTTGACAGCACATTCATCATCTGGTCAGAAGAAAGTTCAGAGAGGCTTTTTCTCAGGTAAGTGAAAATAAAATTGCAAGTAGAGCCTGCAATTGTCTATGGGAAAGGTTTTTATCACTTAAGCAGTATTAAACCTGATGCCTTATGAGTCACAAAAGCTTCAATTTAGCAGAATCAAGCTCTGCCTGTAATGATGCATATATAGCAAGTCCTGTATATAGAGCCAGTCTGGTCTAAGTGGTTAAGGCACCAGGTTAGAAACAGGGAGACTGGGAGTTCTAGTCCCATTCCTAGACATGAGAGCTTCTTGTCACTCTCTCACAGCCCAGCTCACCTCACAAGGCCATTGTTGTGGGGAATAACCCATGTGTTCTGAAGAGGCCACCTATACTTTTTAAGGCACTAACTGAACTCTGGTCTACTGAATTAACCCAATGGCTTGAATTTACGCAAGACCCTGAACCACAAACTAATCACACTGGCTTGGTTTGACAATGCACTGAACCACAAAGTAGCCAACTACCTTTTAATTTTGTGGGTTTTACTAGAGGGAGAAAAGGAAGAGGAAGAGATGAGCACAGCACCAATGCCTGCAGACGGGTCTTCTTTAATATGAAAATCTCTTCCTTCTCTGCTTCACCATCACCAATCCTACAATAAGCATCTCTGAAGGAGGAATATGTCAAGTGAAGATCTTCCCATTACCACTCAGCCATTATTTCCGACTGTTCTATAGGAAGGAGCAGTTTTCAGCTATATTCCTTCTATTGCACATTGGGAAGGGTTAATTCTGAAAAGGAGGATATAAATGATTGTGATGAATTAATAAACCAACCGTAGGTTCCCTCAAGTCAAAGAAAGAAGCCAGGACTTTATTAGCAAACTTAGATGTGTTTTTGCAGAACATGCAGGCCTAAGTGTGATTCTAATTTGTGATTTATGTATTTATTTACCTGCAAAAAGTATATGACTGCCCAGCTTGAATATATAAATATGGGCAGCTAACAAACCAGTTCACAAGAAAAACAGTATTTTTTTTAAAAAAAAAGCTGCCAAAGAGAATAGAAGACATAGTTAAAAATAAATTCTGTATATCATGCAAAACTAGCTGATGTGATCTACATTTCTTTTGTGTTCAGGGTACAGAGTTGTGACAGGAAGCAAACAATACTACGTGCTACAAATGCATTATTCATTTCGGGTTTTCCCAGATTTTTTTGGGGGGTGGGGTGGGGAGGGAAAAAGGAACAGGCAGCTGAACTTCGCTGATCTCCAAAAGCCAAAAGTCAATGACAAACCCCTGCTTTATTTCTGCCACCAGAAAGCTCCCAAGACCTCTTCCACAAAGTTACGGGGAAGTCTCATCTTTCCAGGCCATCAGAATAGAGGTGGAAGGGATCTTGGAGGTCTTCTAGTCCAGTCCCCTACTCAAGCAGGAGATCCTATACCATTTCAGTCAAGCGACTGTCCAGTCTCTTCTTAAAAACCTCAGTGATGAAGCACCCACAACATCTGACGGCAAGCTATTCCACTGGTTAATTGTCCTCACTGTTAGAAAGTTTCTCCTCAATTCCAGGTTGCTTCTCTCTTTTCGATTAGTTTCCATCCATTGTTTCTTGTCCTGCCCTCTGGAGCTTTGGAAAATTAATTGATCACCCCACCTCCTCTTTGTGGCAGCCTCTCAAATACTGAAATACTGCTATCATCTCTCTCTCTCTCTCTCTCTCTCTCTCTTTCTCTCTCTCTCCCCCCCCCCAAGTCCTTCTTTTCACCTGAGTGGACATGAGTCTTGTTTACTCTCCTGGGCAGCAGGAATAATTCACAGGCACGTGACCCGGGTGATGTGGCGGGGGGGGGGCGCGCAAAGCGCTTTCTCCCCAACGAAAACTACCGGCCGGTGCCCAGTCTGCGCCCTGTAGAACCACCGGCTTCCGGCAGGCGTCGCTCCTCCAAGGAATCGGCGCAGCGTGTGGGCGAGCGGCAATATAGCCGCCAGGGGTGATTGGGGGTGGTTCCTCCCCCCCCCCCAGTAGGATAGTATATGGTAATGTGGGGGCGGGGTTAAGCCCGGCCTCCTTTTTTCTTATGGAAAGCGCGCTGGCTGATCCGAAGTGCTGGGTTTCGCCTTGTCCGTTTCTGGAGCTGGTGCTTCAAGGGACCCACAAAATGTGACTCACCGCCTGGCTGGTCTCCCTGGCGGTTCACGGATTGTGACTCTTTCTCTGGGTTTTGCCTTCCCGGCTGCACCAGCAACCTTTTCTGCGGGCGGGACATGTTTTGAGGCTGTAAGTGGATTTTCGTTTATTTTACTCGCTGGGTGTGGATCCTTCTGACTTTCCAAACTTGGTCGTTTCCGTCTGCTTACCTGGGTCTCCCCGATCCCATTCGTGAAATACTTCGCGGGGAATGAGGTGGGTGAGTGGGTGGGTGGGTGAGTTGGCTTCCCGTGTCGCCAGGAGTCTGTATTATAAATAGAGCTTGAGTTTGAGAAAGAATTGACGCCCTCTCTCCAAAGCCGCGTCCTCCGGAGTTGTGGAACTACAAGCCCCATTGTCTTCGGCCGTCCTGGCCCATCGTCTTCCGAAAAGCTTGTCGATCTCGAACCGTAAAACATGCATCTTTCCAAAGGGGGAGTTCCCCAAAACAGGGGGTGGGTGGGGACGACAGGTGATAGAATCGGGATTGCCTCGGTTTCCTTTAACCAACTTGGCAGCTCCGCGCCCAGCCGCCGCTGACGTTAACTTTCCAGGAGTTAGAAAGGCAAGGAGAAAAATCGTCTTAATTCAGCAAGGGAATAACTTCCTGTTTGTAGGTACAAACAAAACAAAGCCAAGCCAAGCCAAACGAGTGAGGCGTGGGGGTGGAGGGGTGGGGGAGAGACCTGACAGCTGTTTTAATCGCGCCTGCCTTTGTTTTAAAGCATTCGCAGCTAGGCTTTTATTTTTATTTTTATTTTATTTTATTTATTTATTTTTTGCCAATGTCTCAAAAATGGTTTAGAACGGCGTGCTTTGGAAATTAGCGCAGGCGAACGTGGGTCTCGTTTCGAGTGCTGCCGATGGATCGGATCGGATTTTGAATATACCATAGGCAGCATCATTCCTCGGGGAACAATATTGACGATAATGATCGGAGAAGATTGGGAAAGGAACATCCCAACTACTGACAAGCCAGTGTGGGGTATTGAATTGACAGGAAGGAGGTTTGGGGGAAGAGATGCCCCCCGCACCTGATTGCCTGTAACTTTAGCTCCAGGATATTCTCCATACAGCAGCTCCCTTTGTTTAAATAAAGATGGGGGGAGCGGGCTAGTTGTATGGTAAGGGCATTACAGAGCTGGTCTCCCCCCCCCCCCCTTGGTAATTTGAATATTGTATGTATAGAAACATGCCTTGAATCCATGCTGTGCTCCATGGCTCTGCTATTTTTTTTTCCCCTTTTGCTCTGTGCCAAATGTAGCATCCAAGGACCATCCTAACGGTGCAAGTGTCTGTAACGTGCTAGAAAGGGAGGAGATTCCTTTGTCAGCTTCCTCTCCTCTTTGTGCCGTTGGTGGAACATTGCTAAGATAGCAGCACTAAGTCCTTGGACAGGTCCCGTCCCATCTCTCTCTCTCTCTCTCACACACACACACACACACCGCAAAAAACGGGGGTGGGGGTGGAAGGGGAGGGGAGGGGACACCCACCAAATCCTGTATTTCTGTATCTCAGGAGGCTGGGCTGCTTCTCCTCATGGAGATTTGAGATTCTGCTCTGCACTCCTGGTTTTTCTTTTCCCCTCCCTTGTCTGCAGACGCTCGGTGGCTCCCTTGTCTTTATGGGTGCTAGCTTTGAATTTTCTAGCGCAAAGTTTCATCTGGGGAGCCAGGTGAGGAAGACCTCCTTGCTCTAAGGTGAAAAGCATCAGTGCCAAAAAGAGAAGCGGGTGTGGTCCTTGTCAGAAGGGGTTGCCTTGCTTGCAGTGGACCCACACTTCCTCTGGCTGCTCTAATAATCTTCCTTTGTGCCAGTCCCCCCCCCCCATGGTTAATTCTCTTTGTGGTGGAAGGGAAGGGAATGAATGCTCAGTTCAGTCTGAGAGCAATGGAGTTATAGCCTATAAGCAGAAAGCCTTACAGTGGATGACAGAAAACGGAGGGGAGGGGGAACAGCATTCTCCTTTAATAAGGATATGAGCTGGGAGGCTGTTCTGGTTTTGCCTCTACTGTTCCTTCACAGATTCAGATTCCTTTCCCACCATGCATGGGGTAGTAATATCATCCTACCTTGCAAGGAAATGGGATCAATCTTCATCAGCTCTTTCGACTTCAATAATTCCCAGCTAAGTAATTTAAAGGAGACTAGGTTTGGGAATACCATTGTAAGGTGATCTATTGGGGGTGGAGACTTGTTCTTTTTTTTTCTGTGAAAAATTGCATTCCCTTCGGGACAATTTATTGTGGATGGTGACTGCTGTTGGTAGATGGTAAAGAAATACATATGTTCCTCCCCCCCCCCCCACAGTTGAGCTTGATTCCTGGTGGGGCAGGCAAGTCTGATATTTTGCTTTCTATTTTTCTTGGCATTTCACCCTCTTCTTCCCTGCAGCCTGCTGGAGGAGGCTGGGAACACATTTGCCAAAAAGGTGGTTAATTGCAGATTACTTGTCTCATCCATTGCTTAGTTAGGATTCTATATTTTCTTTTCTTTTTTCTGCTATTTTCCTGCACTTTATTTGCCCAACCTCTTGGCTTATCACTGCTATCAAATTATACTGTAGCGTACAAGCATTTGTACAAGACTGTATTCCCTACCTGACCTTGTTATAAAGAGTTTGAAACATTTTGAAACATTAGTTCTGTCACTAAACAGTTGGTTTATGGGATAGATGGAAATAAGGCAGATTATTAAGTAATGCAAGCTTGCCAGCCCTAAAAATCTGGCTGACTTTCTAAAAGAAATATACCAGGTGACTTACAAAAACTAAGGAAACAAGTATAAAATCCAGTATACTGTAAGTGCTGCAAAAAAGGAGCTGACTTTGAATACCTGTGGGAACAAACTAGGACTGCTGACAGATATCAAAATATTTGATAGCAGGCTGTAACCATTACATTAAAAGTAGTACCTGAGCCGTCATATAGCTTGGAAGTAAACAACTTGGTGCCCTTCTGAACATTTGAACAACTCCCACGATCCCTTCTGATTGGCATTACTAGCTTGGCTAGTGAGTTGATGTCAAAAACATCTAGAACATATTTGTATTCCTTTTATCAAATTTCTACCCAACCTTTCTGTTTTTTCAATAGTCAATTGGGCTTAAATCAATCAAAAATAAAAAATAAACAAAAAAAGTACAATAAAATAGAATTGAATTTAACACTGGAATAAATTTAAAAGTTGGCAGAGGATAAGAGTTTACCATCTTCCTAAATATTTGGAGAGTGGGAGTCAAATGCGTCTCCCTTGCGGGGGGGGAGTGTTCCATAGCCTGGGAGCTTTGCAAGAAATGACATTTTCCTGTCTACTAGATGATAGAACTTCTGACAACAGAGAGATCTTTTCTAGGGCCTTTCCTGATGCTCTGAGAAATGACGTAGATTGATAGTGACAGATAATATTGTAAGCCAAAGAAATGATTGAAGCCTGGGAAAAGGGGGCCCTTGTCAGTCAACAGGAGTGCTGATTTACCACCAGCTTATCAGGTACTTACAAGCGTTGACGACTCGGCAGCACAAGGAAAGAACAGCCAATCACTGGCCATCAACACACCAATCCACCAATAGGAAGGCACCACATCAATACAACATATAAAATAGCCCAAAGCACACATTCTGGTAGAGAGAACTTCCCTGAGGATGGGCTCCGGCATGAGTCTGAAAACTAAGAAGACTAAACCTCTGGTTGCGGTGACTGATTCAGATTGGATCTTGCAACATTATCCTGGGAAACATATATTTGTCTTCATTTGTGACTGATAAAATTCCCTGTCTACTCTCACATTGATTATGTGCCATCAAGTCATATTCAACTCTATGCGACCCCATAGATAATTTTCTCCATGATGATTAAATGTCTCCAGGGCTACTTATTCTTATTTATCCAGATACTATAAACAAATGCAGGTGTGCAACTTTTACTGTTCATTTTCTGAACCAAGACCCTATCCTTCTCTCACACATAGCCATGTATGTCTATGCAGTTCAGAATCTAGAAGGCCAGAGTCACTCAGAAGAACTGAGATAGGAGAAACTAGTTCTTTGCCAAGGCTCCAAAGTACTACAATTCCCATTCAGTTCACATGGAAACTATTTTTTGGGAATTCAACTTTCATTATGAGAATAGACTCTTGACTTTCAGGACAACTTGTGACTTTTTAGAAATCTTCCCTTATTTTTCCATGTGCTGCAAAATATAACCTCTATCAGGCCAAACTCTTTGCTTTATGGCATCCTTTGAGTGGGTTTCATGCACTCAATTTTTTTTACATTGATTGATACATTGATTCATTCATACATTCACACAATATATGGCATATAAGAAGCAAGTCACTCTAAGTCAATATGGAGTATATGATAACTTCATAGCAACCCTGGTAGTATGTTATCAAAGTAACGTATAACTATTTTTAAAATTGTATTGAAGTGTTGCTTCCTTCCTGGTTTTAAAAGCTGAAGAAAGGTTCTCAGAATGCTTTCCATATCAAAATAAACATCAGTTACCATGATAATGGTGTAGGTTTTCATATCTGTTGGGCGATGTTGCACTTGGGTGTTTAGACAACAGATGTCTAGACAATAGATTTCCTGACAATTTGCCAGAAACTGTGGCTGGCATCAGGACATCTGGCTATAAAGATCGGAGCCCAGTCAGTCTCTGCTCAGTTGCCTGTGGTCTACATAGCATACCACTTTCTTCTTAAGAAAGCCATAGTTGCTGGTCAAACAGTATAGCTGTTGTCTACTCTAGACCAGGGATTGGTAACCTTAAACACTAAAAGAGCCATTTGGACCCGTTTCCCACAGAAAACAAAACACCGGGAGCCACAAAACCTTTCCCATGCCTGACTATTTCCTGAGAGGCCACAGAACTAGCATATGTAGTTGAATTAAATGTTCTGTTTTCTTCTGAAACTTTTCTTTTCTTGGATTTATCCATGGTTGGCCTACCGGGGGTTGAAAAGTTCAATAAATCACATGCCGGCGGGTATCACACATTGGCAGTTGTAATGCATATTTTGAGTGACAGGGAGCCGCAGCAGAGGGATGAAAGAGCCACATGCGGCTCCAGAGCCGCAGGTTGCT